TAAGCTTTCAGGTTTCCAGCAGCAGTTCAACTGAGACCCATTCTGGATGAGGACCCAGAGGCTTCCAGTCTGAGGAAACAAGACCAGCTGAGGATCCGGTGAGACTCTTTAAGATTCCTGCTACAATGACCCCATGACTTCTCCCCTGTTCTGAAGAGAGTATGCTTTGCACTATGATCTGGGGGTGCTGATAACTTGAGAAACCCCCATTATCTGTAGTTCATAAGATTTTCCTTGAAATGAAGCTGCCAGCAAAATTGAAAATTGGTAAAAGCCAATGGGGTGTGTGTTGGGGGATATTTGCACACTGTGTAAAGATATGTTGCGGTGATCGGCGTACTAAAAAGCTGAGCAGCCAATAGCTAGGCAGAAGGTATAGGCAGGACTTCCAGGGAGAGAAAGGAAGAGAAAGAGGAATCTAGGTGCACAGGACACAGGCTAGCCAGATACAGAGAGGAAACAGGAGGTACAAGATGGAAGAGAGGTAATGCCATGTGACAGAACTTAGATTAATATAAATGGGTTAACTTAAGTTATAAGAGTTAGTTATGAACAAGCCTAAGCTATAGGCTGAAATTTCATAAATAATAAGAAGTCTCCATGTCATTATTTGGGAGCTGATTAGCAGGACAGAAAAAGACTAGCTACCTATGGTGCCCAACCTCTGGGCATGTATTTCCAAACAGGACCTGAGAATTGTCTAAAAACAAACAAACAAAAAACCCAAAAATGGACACAGCTTCCTAGTAACCCAGTGCTTGAAGCTTACAGAGGCACGGCTGCTGTACAGCCAGCACTTGAGCAGCCAGTGCTAAGTTGAAACAGCCTGGGCTCGGCAAATTCACACAGCTGGGACAAGCAAATGCTGTTCCCAGCTGCTGCATTCAGAGAAGGTTGCAGGTACACAGTAAAGCAGTCCAGACTGAGAAAACCTTTAAACAGATACAGTTAAAAAAATGGGTATAGATAATCATAGAACAAAATAAATAGTTTAAAAATAAAGTCTTTAAAGAAACACTAAAGTAAAATAAAAAAAGAAGCCACATAAAAATGGGAAATACACAGGGTGTCTAGATCCTGTATGGTATGTTGTTGATTTTCAATTTTTTAAATGCTAATGTACAAAAAGCAATAGTTGCTGGGAGACATTGGATTATGGAAACTGCTAGATTAAACCAACCTATATATTTTTAAGATTGTCTTAACGTCAAAATGGAGATGAGAAAAATATGTTATGCTGGGGGAGAGGTTATGCCTTTGTTTCCAGAGGAAACAAAAGTTATGATTCTCTTCAAAATTAATAAAAATTAGATTTGATTGGAAGATACCTCTTGAAAATCTTGGCTACAGACATGAAAAAAACAACAATGAGAAATACTACAGAACAGATGATGTATGTGCTGATTCCTCTACTATGGGAACAGCTGTGAGAATGGATGAAACATGATAAATCTTGTTGGCTACAGAGTTCTCATGACTTATTATTACATGCCATCCTTCCATATGTCATGATAGAGGTTTGGTTACACAATCCAAACAAACTATGAAGTTAACAGATGTTTTTTTACCTGCTCAAACATAGAACAAAAAACTCGATCTTTAGCTGACTTGTGCACACTGCACATCCCATACTTGTAGTTGAAAGTTTTCCTGTGTCCTGCCTGGTCCGCAGCCGCTCAAACCCAAGGAAACACACAGAGGCTTATATTAATTAAAACTGCTTGGTCATTTGCTCAGGCTTACTACTGACTAGCTCTTGCACTTAAACTCAGCCCATTTCTGTTAATTTATATGTCGCCACATGTTCTGTGGCTTTACCTGTGTGCTATTACATGCTGTTCCCTGGACAGTGAGCTGGCATCTCCTGACTCAGTCTTCCTCTTCTCAGAATTCTCCTTGTCTGCTTATCCTGCCTATACTTCCTGCCTGGCTACTGGCCAATCAGCATTTTATTTATCAACCAATCAGAGCAACACATTGACAGCATACAGAGTGATATCACCCATCATTTCCCCTTTTCTTTCTATTTAAAAGAAAGGTTTTAACTTCAACATAGTAAAATTACATATAACAAAACAGTTATAAGCAAGAATTACAATTATAATATCTAGTCTATTTGTATTTGGCAAAATTAAAGAAAATATTTTATCATCTATCCTATATTTGTGAGTCTAAAGTTTATAAATGTAGATGAATTTCTAAAATGATCTTATTAAATAAAAAACACAGAGCCAAATATAGGGGTGAAAGCCTTAGATCAGGGAAATAGGGAAAACCACCAGCCAACCTCACCTCACCAGCTCTGTAGCTTCCAAATGCAAGTTACTTCCTGTCTACCCAGGCCTTTATTGCCTTGCTGTTCTGCCCTCTCATTGACTATTTTAGCCCAGCTACCTTACTTCCTGTTCCTACATAGTTCTGTCACTTTCTGTCTGTCTGTCCAGACCTCCAGGTCTCTATGGTTGGTACTGGGATTAAAGGCCTGTGTCACCATGATTGGTTCTGTTCCCTAGTGTGGCCTTGAACACACAGAGATCCTGCCTGCTAAGGGATTAATGGCGTGTGCTGTTTGATTTCTTTATTTACTTAAAATGGCTGGCCTTTTCCCCCTGATCTCCAGGCAAGCTTTATTTATTAATGCACAAATAAAATATCACTACGTTTTCCCTTTTTTGTCTAATAAAAATAAAAAAAAAAAATTGCCGGGCGGTGGTGGCGCACGCCTTTAATCCCAGCACTCGGGAGGCAGAGGCAGGTGGATCTCTGTGAGTTCGAGGCCAGCCTGGTCTCCAAAGCGAATTCCAGGAAAGGCGCAAAGCTGCACAGAGAAACCCTGTCTTGAAAAAACCAAAAAAATAAAAAAATAAAAAAATAAAAATAAAAAAAATTTTAAAAACCTGTAACTAATATAAGAAAAACTACGTACAATAAGTACAATAACTATTTACAATATATACAACCAATAAATACATCATCAATGTCTAGTCCATTTGATTGACAAATTCAGAGAAAAGATTCCATTATCTGTTCTATTTTGGTGAGTCCAAAATGTACCTAATTTATTTTCTATCTTAACTTATATTACCAACAGAAAATTATCTTATGATGTCTTTCAAATTTACACACTTAACACCTCTTAGTGAGTTTCTTTTCTGAATTTCTTAACAAAGAAAATTGTTATTACAACTATCTAATCTTTAACTCCCTCAGAGACCCAAGAAAGAAATAATATTACCTAGTAAAACTGGAAGTGCAAACAAGCAACTTCTAAAAAATTGGTTATGACAGAAACAGCCAGCTCTGAGAACCCAGCTCACAGTTGACTCTGGGAAGCAAGCTCACAACTGACTCTAGGAAGCAGTGGATCTATGCTTCCATCCAGCAGCATATAGCCCAGAAACTTTTTTTTTTAATAGCAAAAGCTATATCTACCATGCACCATGTTGTGCAGCTTGCAGAAACCTCTGTGTAACTAGGCAGGAATCTACCATGCTGTAGCTCCAGCCCACATGACACGAATTCACCACAGCCAGGGGACATATCATTGTACCTAGCCCCACCATGAGCAACATGAACTAGGAAGGTGTGTATGGTGATATTTTATTTGTACTGAAATGTGATTTTATTTGTATGTTAATAAATAAAGTTGCCTGGGGGTCAGAGGTAATAGCAAGCCATAGCAGAAGCTAGGTGGTGGTGGTGCACACCTTGAATCCCAATCACATGACAGGCAGATCTCTATGTGTTCAAGGATACAGCCAGCATGGAGACACACGCCTTTAATCTCAATACCAACCATAGAGACCTAGAGGTCAATATAGACAGGTAGTGATGAGGAGGTCATGTGGTTGGGTTTACAACCAATAAGAAGGCAGAACAAAAAGTCAATAAAAAGACAGACTCACAGGAAGTAGGCCTCTTTCAGAGGGGAAGGATGGCAGCAGCAGGAAGAGTAAGAAGGTGATCTTAAGTCTCAGCTTTTAGGTACTGCTCTGACCTCTTGGGCTTTTAACTCTGCATTTGGCTCTGTGTTTCTTATTTAATAAGACTGTTACATCTACAGGTTCGCTTAGCTGCATTTATAATCTCTTCTTAAGCTATCTCAGATTTTAGGTGGAAACTCTTGCCCCACGTTGGGCACCATTTATAGTTGAAAGTTTTCCTGTGTTCTGCCTGGTCCACAGCCGCTCAGATCCAAGTAAACACAGAGGCCTATATTAATTAAAACTTCTCATCCATTAGCTCAGGCTAACTACTGACTAGCTCTTACACTTAAACTCAGTCCATTTCTGTTAAATTTATATGTTGCCATGTGTTCTGTGGTTTCATCTATGTGCCTTTACATGCTGCTCCCTGGATGGTGGGCTGGCATCTCCTGACTCAGCCTTCCTCTTCCCAGAATTCTCCTTGTCTGCTTATCCTGCCTATACTTCTTGCCTGGCTACTGGCCAATCAGCATTTTACTTATCAACCAATCAGAGCAACACATTCACAGCATACAGAGTGACATCACCCATCATATACTGTGTTAATATGGATATATACGTTAACTATAATGGTGGTCATGCATGCCTTTAATCCCAGCACTCAGGAGGCAGAGGTAGGTGGATCTCTGTGAGTTTGAGGTCAGCCTAGTCTACAGAGCAAGTTCCAGGACAATCAAGGCTATTACACAGAGAAACGTTGTCTCAAAAAACCAAAAGGGAAAAAAAGTTTATGTGTTTTCAAAAAAAAAATTAAAATTTTTTTAAAAAGGACCAGACACTAATAAAGACAAGTAGCCCAGATGATCCAGCCTCTCAGAATGCCTGTTAAGTTTTCTCAAAATTCTGTATCCAGAACAACTTCAAAGCTGCTAGCTGAGATGGTCCAGCCTCACAGACTACTCCAGCCAAGCCAAGACTTCAGATAAACTCTACACTTTCCCATTATGTAGAAACTAAACAAAAAATAACACAGCTAGTTCTCCCAGGTCTTGACCATTATCTCAATTTTCTCAGGGTACTCTAAAGATGCTGTCACCCTGGGACAACAGGAAGCAGTCTAGAGAACACTACGCCCACATTACCAAAAGGTGAGGTGGGTGATTTTTGATCATTCAGTGGGTTATAGACGTTTGTCATTATTTAGGGGAGTTGGTTACAAGTTGTTATTGCTCATGGTCAGGAAAAAAGCTAAACAAAGGAGATTAAATTCAGGGATCTCTCTGAAAGAAAAAAGGGGATAAAAATGATGGGATAAAGGGTGGTTGTTGTATCTACTTTTGAGCAACCACTAGTCTCAAATATTTGATATTGGTATGTATTTTTATATATTGATGCAAATTTTAGGTTATTTTTGTTACATTGCATATATGTTTCTACTCTTGTTTAAGGTATTGTACCTATGCAGCTCATTTAAAAATGTAATGGGAAGTTATATTCTTGAAAGCTATTTAAGATAATAAAGGTTAGTAGTTAGTCAGCTATAGCAATCAAACCTATAGTCATGTTAGGTATGTCTTCAAGGTCAAACAGGCAATTTTAGATAAATGGTCTTCAAACAATTCAAAGACCTACAGAATATGCCATTTAAGATGTTTTAATGATCTGAGGCTTTTCATAACAGTGAGACACATCTGTTCTTGGCAGCACCAATTTACTTCAAAAAAGGATGATGGTCATCAAAGAACCTCCATATGGAGTTTGCTTTTACTGTGGCAATCCACTGGGCAAGAAACTATCCTTGCATAGACTGCTGACAGTATGCTGTATAAATTGGACAAGTAGGACACAAAAGAAGGCAACTGCCAAACTTTGCCAAGACAAGGCTGGACAGTCCTTCAAAAATTTCCTCCTTCACAGAAAAGTCTGTCAGATATTCTAGGCCTGTAGGATGAAGATGGATGCCCCAACATTTCAGATGAACCTTGGGTGACTAGCCAGGCAGCCAGATGTCTCTGTCATTTCTTAGTTTTGGAACTTGTTTGCTCTGTACTTCCTGTTTAATCCTGTAATATTATATCATTCTCAGATCACTGATGGGGTTGAAGATGAAATAGTTATACTTACAGTTTTCCTATTACCAAATTCAGAAAAGAAACTTACATAAGAAATGTAACGTTTATAAGCTTGAAAAACATAAAAACTTAAAAAACGTCTTAAGATCTAAAAAGATAGTTTTTAGGATGACAATATAAGTTATAATAGAAAGTGGTTTAGGTATAAAACTTTGGACTCACTAAGATAGGAGAGATAATACAGTGCTTTCTCCAAATTTGCCAAATACAAACAGACTGGACATTGTGAATGTAATTCTTACCTGATAATTGTTTTTATTGTATAGTTTTACTATGTTAAAGTTAAAACCTTTCCTTTTTATTTAGACAAAAAGGGGGAAATGTTGTGATATATTTGTACACTGTGTGAAGATACTGCTGTGATTGGTATAATGAAAAACTGAATAGCCAATAGCTAGGCAGGAGGTATAGGCGGGATTTCTGGTGAAAGAAAGGAAGAGGAAGAGAAATATAATCGCACAGGGGAAGTGAGCCAGACACAGAGAGGAAACAGGAGGTACAAGATGGAAGAGAGGCAATGCCACATAATAGAACATAGATTAATATAAATGGGTTACTTTAAGTTGTAAGAGCTAGTTAGGGAAAGCCATGCTTTCATAATTAATAAGAAGTCTCTGTGTAGCAAGTCTTTCTCTGTCTTGCCAGCCAGCTCCCAAATGATGACACAGAAGCTTAAAAATAATGAAATCCCCGCCTTTAGCGTAGGCTTGTCTCAACCAACTCTTATAACTTAAATTAACCCATATTTGCTAGTCTATGTTCTACCACATGGCATTCCTTCTCATCCATCTTGGCTTTTTCTTCATTTCTGTAGCCAAGATTTTCAGGAGGTTCCCCCCAATCAAATTTGATCTTTATCAACTTTGAAGAGAACCATAACTTTTTGCTTCCTGTGGAAACAAATGCATAACCTCTCCCCCAACACAACACATTTCCCGCCTTCCATTTGAAGTCAAGACATTTCTAAAGTATACAGGCTGGTTTAGCTCCTCAGTCCCTCCCATAATATCTGTACACTGTGTGAAAATGAATTGCTGTGATTGGTATAATAAAAAGCTGAATGGCCAATAGCTAGGCAGGAATAGGTTAGGCAGGACTTCTGGGGACAGAGAGAACTCTGGAAACATAAAGGCAGAGTCGCCAGCCACACATGGAGAGGAAACAGGAGGTGCAAGATGGAAGAGAGGTAATGCCACATGATAGAACACAGATTGAAAAATATGGGTTAATTTAAGTTATAAGAGCTAGTTGAGACAAGCCAAAGTTACAGGCCAAGCTTTCATAATTAATAATAAGTCTCTGTGTCATTATTTGGGAGCTGATTGGCGGGAGAGAGAAAGACAGAAAAGCTAAGAAAGTTCTGGACAAGGAGTGGGAAATGGTTCCTAGTCCTGCAATCTCTCAGGCGAGCCGGGGCTCAGCATACAGAAGCATGGCTACTGATTGCTACCTGTGGGCTGGAGCCAGCCACCAGTGCCATTCGCTAAGCTGAGCCAAGTGGCAGCTGGCATGGCAATTTAAGATTTGACTCATCAGCCTGGGCTACCAAGTGAGTTCCAGGAAAGGCGCAAAGCTACACAGAGAAACCCTGTCTCGAAAAACCAAAAAAAAAAAAAAAAAGATTTGACTTATGTGGTTAGAGAATGCTGATGCTATAGGCACTTAGTAAAGTCAGGTCCAGGCAGAGAAAAACCTCTAAGAAGGTGCAACATATTTTAAAATGTGCTTAGATGCTGAAGAAAATGGGTATAAATAGTCATAAAAAAGTTTAAAAATAATAAAGACTTTAAAGAAAGAATGTGTGTGTGTGTGTGTGTGTATATATATATATATATATATATATATATATATATATATATATATATATATATGGCATCTGGATCCTGTATGGTGTTTTGTTGACTTTGAAATTTTTGAATGCTAATGAGTGTCATGTCATTAGTTGGGAGCTGGCTGGCAGTACAGAAAAAGACTCATTCCAGGTATGTGATTGGTCTATGGGTTCATTGCTTTGCCTAGTGTATCTGTCATTAAAGAAAACAAGTACAGCTCAGGTCTTATTGAAGAACTAAATATATCAAATGGTTTTCTACCTTTTTGTTTAAAGAATGATAGATTTATACAGAGGTAGATGAGATTCTTTTACCCTCTGCTCTGTGCTGATGGCTCAGGCTCTCGCTTATTGTGGCTAGACTTCTCTTTTCTAGGAGGCAGAACTAACACTAATCTGGCCTACTACTCCTATAGTCATTGGGAGTATCAAATAATATAATAACCTGGGATCATTGGAACAGAATACTGGAAAATTTTAACTGTTAATTGATTTCTTCGTGAATCAAATTACATGGACAATTTTAATTATTGTGCTCATTTTAAGAAAGAGCAATAAGTAAATTGTGAATCTTAGACCTGTGATGGCATTGACTTTTATTAAGACCAAAGAAGAGGCTGCAATGTGTGAATAACCAAGCTGATAACTCTTCGGCAACAATATGGGTTCTGTGTATAAAAGATGGTTAAATGTTTAGAAAGGAGTATCAGTTTATGGCCCAAAGGTACCACTCTTCAAGGTGGGAAAATGATAGTTCTGGTGTCAATACTAATGTCTCTCAAAATCCATATCTTAAGACCTAACTCCAAAGGTCATGTTATTATAAAGTAGGAACTTCTGAGGAGTTCATGATGATCAGTCACGATGGCTCTGCCTTTGCAGAAGAAATGGAGAAATATTGCCTTGCCCCTTCTACCTTGTGAGGCTATGGCATTTGCCCCTTTCTCTATGCCCTGATTTTGGACTTACTTCCCAGCCCACAACTATGAGGAATAAATCCTACTGTTTATAAATAACCAGATCTTAAGTATTATCTTATAGCAGCCTGAATGGGATAAGGAACTGATTCATCTGTAGTTATTGTTGCTACATGCTACAGACTATTGCCTGCTAAATGTGAATTTTTCAATTCAAGGGACATAGTTTGCTTGTAAAACTTGAGAAGACATGATTGATCATTCCTTAGAATACATTTCTCAAAGCTGAGTACTTAGTATTAAAACTGAACAACTTATATGTCTGTGTGGGAATCAAATAAAATAACGGTAACTTCCTCTCTGTATTATATATTGTTCCCAGGTATCAGAAAACCAGCTTAAGTATAAAAATCCAGTGCTTAAACCAATTTAGAAGATATTAATGATTTTTCCAAATAAGACCTCATGTAGAAAAGATTGAGGCAACAATTTCTTAGTGTGAAAGATATAAAAGAGCATATGGAGAAAATATCATTTTAGAAAATCTTTGATTCTGAGGTTTCCTGTCAATTGTGTTACAATTATGGCTTCAGTGCTCTGAATTCCACACTCCTCTGCACCCTCCAAGAGGAAGTGCTCTGTCCTTTCCCCAGTCCCTTTGATTACTATGGAGCCTATGGAGATGGGGGGGAAGGAGAGAGGAGAAAAGCAAAAGGAGAAACAGGAGTAAAATAGGAAGAGGGTTTCCAGAATATTTTTCTCTTGTCCTTTAAATACTGAAAAGGAGCAACTTAGGATGGCATGTGAAATATTTGACCTGACACTTGGCATAATATGAAGCAATGGTGGTGCTGAGTTCTTGCGGGCAGCCCCAAGGTCTGACTTTAAAGAATTTCCTGCACGTTTTGAGAGGACAAGCCTTTGGCTAATTCATTTCTGCCCCAAAAGATTTCAACGAAATGGATGAGTCTAGGAAAGGGCATGAAAGTTAGAACATGCTGACACAGAATGAATATTTAACATTTTTACTTCTGAAGTGGTTCACAGATAATATGATGCCAAGGTGGCAAGTTCAATGTCATGGCAATAATACACTAGAATGCTCAGTTGGGATGCTGAATTCACAACTCAAGTTGGCGATGTCATTTTTAAGCCCTTTATTATTTTTTATTGAGTAAATGTATCATTTAAGACAGTAAACAGTAAAACATGCTTGTTATAGAGAAAAACAACAATAGAAAGTTTAAATCAAAGTTCTCATCATGCAA